CTGGGTTCTGCCTCACCTGCAGCCTAGGCCAGTGGGAGGAGATTAAAGGCAGGAGGGTGGTGGCACTGCCCGCAGCCAGCGCAGGAACTGTGGAGCTATGATTACCATCAGGACAGTCCCCTTCGCTGCCTCTGCCTGACTTTAAATCAAAAGCAGAGCTGTTAGCCCAGTTTAGCAATATCCTGGGTAATCTTGGGCAGGTCTCTTCATGTGTGTGGGCCTCAGTTTTCTCATCTGTGAAATGGGGCTGCTAATGACACCTGTCCTAAGTTCTGTCACCAGGAGTCAGTGCTTTGGGGTGTATGCCCTAAAAAAAAGGGGTCAGGCAGACCCAGCACAAATCCTGGCTCATGTCTGTGACCCTGGGCAAGGCAGGTCACTTCTCTGAGCCTCAGTTTCTCCATCTGAAACCCAGACTTAGTAATAACATAGTTCCCACCTCTTGGGGCTCTGGGGAAACGCACGTGACATTTACTGAGTCTGCCCACCACACGTGCTGCGGTGATGGCTTTACTCTTATGACCCTTGTTCCGGAGAAGGGAGAGCCTCCTCAGGGGAGGAGGTTTCCTGTGTGGCCTCTGGGGGTCCCAGCCCAGCTGCGATGGGGAGGGTGTGGTGAGGGGAGGGCAGGGGGAGGGGGGTCCATGGGATGCTGTGAGGGCCACTGCCCTCTCCCAGCTCCTGATGGGGGTTGGGGCAATCCCCTCCCCTCCTCACCCCCAGACTGAGCTGTGGGGGGCGGGCATGCAGAGCCCTGGCTCCTACGCCCTGACCCAGGTTTTATAGTACATGCACACGCACGCGCACACACGCACATGCACGCACGCACACGCACATGCATATGCACACTCATATACAAACACGTGCACACAGGCATATGTACATCACATATACACACATATACATACACTCAAATACACATGCATGCACACACACAATACAAACACGTGCACACACAATCATCACATATACACACATAAATACATTCACATATACACATACATATACACACACTTAAATACACACACAGAACAGACATGAGTCATGCACTCACACACAGACCTTGCACACATCAACTTGGCAAAGAACCAGGTGGGGAACCCCTGCACCCTGGAAGGCTGCGCCCGCAGCGAGCCTGGGGAGGGGTGGGCCTGGGGGCTGGTGAGCTCAGCCTCCCCTTCCTGCCAGGCCCAGGCCCTTGCTGCATGGCGCCCTGAGCTGGAAAACCTCCTCATCAAGCCTCCTCCTTGGGGTCAGTACAGGGTCACCCCGTCAGCCCCCGAGCTCCCAGCAGGTGCCTGGCAAATGCTGCCAGGTGGAATGCAGGGGACCTGAGTAGAGCACACTGGATTGCTGATGGCCTACTGTGTGCCAGGCAGTGGGCTGGGCCCTGCAGTGAGGCCAGCTTGGGGCCTGGCAGAGTTCTGGGTCCCAGAGAGGGCAGCCCTGCTTGTCCCATCAGGGTGGTTGGGAAGTGACATTGGAACTGGCCTGTGAATGACAAGAGGAGCCTGCGTGGGTGGATCTGGGAGGAAGGCTTCCAGGCGGGGCACAGATCGGTCCACGGTCCTGAGGTGGCTGCATGCTGGGGGAGGGGAGGGCTGAGTTGGAAAGGCTGTGGAGTGGTTGGGGACAGAACCTGGAGAAGGGGCGTAGGCTGAGGTGACAAGTAATGGGGGGCACACCTGCAGGGCCCCAGAGCGGCCAGCAGCTCCCCATTTCACAGAGGGGGTGCCTGGCTTCTGCCAGGCCAGGCCCATGTAGTGGGAGAGGTCGCCCAGACAGGGGCCGGTGTCTGCCTGCTCCCTGGGGCACCCCTGTGCCCCTGGCCTCAGCAGGCAGGCTGGACGGAGACTCTGATTGGTGGGTGGGGCTGCAGGCGACGCAGCTTCAGCAGGAGCCCTCCCCCTCTCGCTAAACAATCATTGCACAAAATATGCAAATGGCATAATTACTGTTATTCGTTTTGCTGATATAAGTGTTTGAAATGCAAATGTCAAGTTTGGCCCTCTTATTTTCCACCCCTCTTACCCGTTTGCAAGTAGAGGGGTGCTCCCATCCTGGGAGGAGGAGGAGGAGGATTTGGGGGGCCCCACTCGGACGCCAGGGGAGCCAGCCTGGGTTTGCTCCCGCACAGCTGCTGCCTCCACCGCCTGAGGGGCACCGCATAGCGGGGACAGAGCCTCGCCCGCTGCGTGCAGCGCCCGGAAGGGAGGCCTCACCACCCCCCACTCCCCGTGTGGTCTGGGAGCAGTCACTTGGCCTCTCAGCGCCTCAGTTTACCTCTCTGTGTCCTGGGATCCACCAGCCTCTGGGCTGCCTTGTGTCTGGGCCTCCGTGCTACCTGGTCCCATGACAATTCAGTTAATGGATCTGGGCCTCAGTTTCCCTCCTGTGGAATTCCTGCACAGGTGCATTCTCACCTGTAAAATGGAGAGTTAGAGTTCCCAAATGGTCTTTGGGGTCCCAGGTGAACCCCCAGATACCACTGTGTGTGTGCATTTTCCAGGGTGCATCATCACCTTTGGCCCCCTCCAGCCCAGGTGGTCTCTGCGGCTTTCGGAGCTCCCTGGCCTGTGGGTTTGGGCTGTGAGCCGGTGAGAGGCGGCCACCGTTGTCCCTTTCCAACAGGGGAGGAGCTAAGGTGTAGCATTCCAGGGCGTGTGGGGGTCGCCCAGTGAGCTGCTCTGCTCGGCTGCCAGCTCCGGCTGCCACCTGGTTCCCTCCCGCCCCCCCACCCCCAGGGCAGGCGGGCTGGCTCCCTGTCCAGCGGCCCCTGCCAATCCCACACCAAGCTGCCCACCTGCACACGCTGCCCCGGCCACACCCCTTGATTTCAGATCGCCGGCTTCACTGGACCGAACTCCACCCGCGATGGCCCTGCAAATCCGCTGCGTGCGTGACTGTGCAGACCTGCGGGCTTCCAGCACCAGTGCCACCCTGAGACGGTGTGATCACCTCGATTCCTATAGGAGTGCAGCCCCTCCAGGCCCCGCCCCCAACCCTCTCAGGCCCACACACTATCCAGGGAGCTGGTGACTCCCACCAGGGCAGCTCCTGAATGTGATGCTTTGGGTCTGCCGGTTAGGGACAGATAGGTGGGAGTGGGCCCCAGGGCTGTCATTGGCCTGGTAGTCCCTTTGTGTTCAGCCCCTTGAGCCATGCGCTGGCTGCTGCAGGGCAGGACCCGGGGGGCTGGAGAGGGCACGTATGCGCCCATGCCCACGTGTGCCGGAGCGGGCCTGCAGAGAGCCGTGAGTGTGTGTGCACACGTGTGTGATCTGTGGGTCTGCAGGTGATGCCGATGGAGAGTGAAAAGCCTTGGGCAGGTGTCCAGCATGTGAGGTGAGAGGGACCACTGAGCTCCCAGTGGGATGGCCTGGCTCCTGCGCAGTGAGTGGCTCCTCGTTTGTTCCGCCTTTGGACAGCTCGGCTAGAGAGGAGCTGGTGTTGTCAGGGTGACCAGGACCCAGGAGAGGAGAGCAGGCGTTGCTGGGCCGACGGCAGTGAGAGGGCTCTCCAGTGGGCACACATGTGGTCAGCGGCCTGGACATAGGAGGGGCGACGCACCTGGTCTTGGCTGCAGCTCAGCCCGGAGGCCTCCGCCCCGGCCAGGCTGGTGGGGAGCTCGGAGCGCCCCACGTTCCCTCAATTTTTATTCCAATTACCTTTTCCAAGACAGGTTCAGCCTCATTAGCATATTCAAATACAGACCATCATTATTTCAATTAGCTGTTAAGTAATTAGCTTTAATTGATGAGCATTCCCCCCTTCCCCACATATTTTTTGGTTATTTACATCCGCTTCTAACCAACAATTTTAGGTAATTACATGCCACTCACTCATGTATTTGTGGGCGCGTGGGCACACACACACACACACACACACACTTACACACGCGCACACACACACACACACACACACACTCACACTCGCACACGCTTCCTCTGGTTCCTTTTCGCCTTTCAGTTCCTGCTCCCAGCCCGGGAGCCTGGAGGAGGCTGCTGTGAAGGGGGCGAGGGGTGGGTTACAGGCAGCCCCCCGCCCTACGCCTCCCCAGGCGCAACTGAGGGTCTCTGCCAGCCTACAGGGGCTCACGGTGAACCAAAGCCCCCCAACCTTTTTCCCAGAATGCCCCTTGTCCCAAAATGCCACCACCTCTGGGCACCCCCCTTTTTCTCCCCCACCTGGCGAGTTGGCGAATTGAGTTGGTGAATTACGTGCCCGTCACGCATGCAGAGCACGGTGGCGTCATGCCTCAGGCTTGGTCCAAACACGGCTCCGTGCTCCGTCTCAGCTCTGTGCCCCTGGAAGAGGGCTCCCCTGTCAGCCTCCGTTTCCCTGTCTGCACAATGGGGGTCAAGCGAATGAAGACGGAGTGTGAAATGCGGTGATGCTGACAACCCTCAGCACCAACAGCACACTCAGCGTCTGTTGTGGTTGAGCCACCGCGTGAGCGAGTGAATGAATAAATGAAGGAAGGATTGATCGGACCTTGTGGGCAGATGGAGACTGGACTTACAAGGTCCCAGGCTCATGCTGTCGATGGTCTGGCCTGGACCCTGGTGCCCTGTGGTGGAGGAAGGTGCCCCCCCAGAGAGCCCTGTCGGACCTGCCCACTGGGGGTCTTGGCCTCAGGTGTTCGTCCACCTCCCTCTCACGTAGGTTGGGGGGCTCAGAGGGATGTGGGTGCACTATGCCTCGCGCGTCCCCGCTGACTCGCCCGCTGGTCCCGGGGCTTCTGGGCTTCACCCCAGCAGCCGGGCCGCAGCCAGTCTGCACTCAGGTCTGTGTCTGGCCTGCCTCTGTGTCACGTCCGCCCCCTGCCCTTGGCCCTCTCCGTGGCTCCTTGAGCATGGGGACATTGGCTCCCAGGTTTTTTTGCTGGAGGTCTAACTTCCATGCAGTCTGTGCACAGGACCACATCCTGCTGAGATGGCTGCTGGTCGCAATGCCCCTCCTCCCCTCACCGCCCTCCTCCCCTCTGTGTCTCGCTGCAGTGGACGCTGCCTTGGCGACCGTTTGCCCCACGCTTCGCCTGGACCCTTGCTCTACCCCTGTGTCCGGAAATGAGGAGAAGACGTCTGTGATCCCTGAGGGGAGGAAGCCGCCAGCCTGTTCTTCTCGGAGGTGACAGTCATCGGCGGGCCCTGACCCAAAGGTAAGGGTCGCTCTTGCTCATTGGACACTCAGCAAGGGGGGCAGGTGTGCTGGGGTCATGGGACAGGTCTGGAAGGTGTGGGTCAGAGCCGGCTTTCCTGCAGAACAGGTCCCTCAGGAACCAACCCCTGTTCAGAGGCGCTGCCCGTCTGACGGAGAGAGCGGGCTGCCTCAGGGGACGGCAGAAGGGGCTTGGGGGCCCTGGGATGGTGTGAGCAGGCGGGGGCCTGTGCAGTGTCCTCCTCTTGAGCTGGGTGCTCTGTGGGGTGACAGAGGTTTCGCTCCCACCACGTTATGGGAATGTGTGTGAGTGTAAAACTTCATGCTTACAACATGGCGCGTGTTAGCGTTGACTCACATGGATCCAAACACAGGTTCTTCCCTGAAAAACGAAAATGCTGCATTGAACTCCTAAGGGGGTGGGGTGGGCGTTGAGAAGGCCATCCTGAGGCACGCCAGCTGTCCTGGTGACCCAGCTGTGCTGTCTGCGGGAGTCTCACCTGCAGCTGGAAAGCAGCTGGACGAGTTATTTCCCGTTGGCACTTTCAGATTACCACCGTGCCCTCTTCTGTCACCTGTCCTCCGATGGCTCAGGGCCTGAGGCACCTCGTGTGCTTCCGGGTCACAGACTCGGCAGTTTGTACATCTGCTCTCTGCGTGTTGCCTTGTGTGATGGAGCTGGGTTGTAATACCTCCCTCGGACAGCAGGAGGTGCTCTTGGTAAACGACACAGTGCAGAGAAGAGTGGCTTTGGGGCTTGGGGTTCTCAGTAGGTTGCTTACCTGCTGCCAGCTGGCGCTAAAGGATTCCATAGATTGAGTTTATTTCAAGTGGCCATGACACTTAGTCTCTGCCAATTCTAGCGGACTGGGAATTTGTGGGGAACAGGCTCCTTCCAGGACCTACGAAGGCATGCCTGTGGGTGGTCAGATGGCTCCCCAGATGTACCGGTGGCTTTAGAGTGGCGCTTGTAGGAGTGGCTCTGGGAGGCCTGACCGTGAGACGACAAGGCAGCGGGGCTTCTGGGCTGGAGGGAGGCACCTGTGAGGACCAGAGGCAGCCGGGAAGCTGGTGCTGGCGGGCAGGGCCGGGGTAGAGCCGGCGGGCAGGGCCGGGGCACATGCGGCTGCCTGGTCGCTGCTCCCGCACGTGCCCGTCAGGCATCCGTGAAGGCCTGCTGCTTGCCAGGCCCCAACGCGGGGTGCTGGAGACCCTGTCCCTTGGGGTGCTGAGCCTGGAGAGAGGGCAGGCTGTGAGGAAGCATCGTTCGTTCCGTGCCGCGGCTGTCTCTTCAGCTGACATCATCAAGAAAGTCTGGGGGGAGGGGGCTGGGTGCCATGTGACCGTGACAAGCACCTGCCCCTTTTGGGGCCTCAGTTTCCCTATCTGAAACATGAGGGTGTCCCCAAGAACCATCTTCATGGATTTACCTAGAAGTTATTTAGTGGACAGGGCAGTCTGGGTGGGCGTCGGCTCTGACCATGCCAGTGGCCTAAGACCATCCCCACCACGGGCGTGCAGACTAAGACCCCACAGCAGTGGGGCATGATGCCAGCGGTGCACAGGGTACCCCAGAGGCCCAGGGATGTGGCAGAGCTTGGACAATTAGGGCCAGGCTGGGCAGACTCGGTGGTGCTGACCTCGGGCCATTGGCACGGCCATGAGTGTGTGGGACAGGCAGGCAGGCAGAGCTGGGCTTTGGCCATGACTGCTGTTGACAGCCCTGTGCTTCCCCTGCCCCTGCCATGCCTGTGCCTAGGACGCCCTCTCCCCAGGTCGGCCTATCTGTGCAGTGACCTTGGTGTGGGGCAGGCCCCACTGCTGATGTTTGGTTGTGGAACTCTGGGCAAGCCATGTTTTGTCTGTAAAATGGAGATAACGACCTCTCCCTTAAGGCGCGCATGCAGAGGGGCGTGTGGATTTCCTGGCATAGTAGGCACTCAGTAAACACGCAGTTGGTACCCGGGAGACACCCGTCTTGGGTTCATCACGTTAGATAAATGTTACCTCTTTCCTTCCTTCCAGAGGCTCCGTCCGCCCCAGCCCACATCAGGTTCAGGCTCCGCTGGCCTAGCCCAGGACCCCGTGGCCTGGTGGGCCCCGCTCCGGCCTCAGCTCCCGGGCCACGCCGCTTGGCCTCCGGTCACTCACCCCAGGCTGCGTGCTCGCCCGGTCAGCCTCCTGAGCCTGGCGGGGGGCACACTCCGAATGGAAGTTTGTTGAGTGGATGGATGGGATGTTTCTCAGCCTGGCCTACCTAGGAAGGCAGGTGGCAAAACAGATGGCCGTGGCTCCTGCGGGCCTCGTGGGGGGCGCCCGTGTCGCTCTGGGTCTTCTTCGGGGACGTGCAGGTTGGGCGCAGTTTCCAAGGTCCCTTCCAGACAGAGCATTTGTGGTTCCGCAAGCTGAACTTCCCCGGTTCCAGTCCTGCCTCCCTGCGCCTCCATTTCCTGGTCCTGGGGCTCATCCCTAAAAGTTGCTTCTATTGAAGCAATGACTAAGAGTCCAGAGGAAACGTCTGTGTGTTCCGGTGCTGACCCCAGGTGACCTGCTGGACGTGGCCCAGCCTTTGGCCGGCACTGTGTTCAGCACCAGCGACGGCGCCTCAGGGGGCCTCCGTGGGCCTGTGGGGAGAGAGGGATCTGGGAGCAGGCAGAGCTGGAGCCCAGGCCCCTCCGGAAGACCCCTCTCCTCCCTGGATCTCAGTCCGCTTCTCTGAGAAATGGGGTGATGCTTTCCCCAGCAGTGCTGTGTGACGTGCTGGTGACTTGCCCAGGGCCACCCAGCACAGTCACACCGCCCTCTCCTCCCCCAGCACGCCCCGGCTCCCCTCCCCAACCTCTCCAAGGAGCAGTTATTTATCTGCCTGATGGTGACAGGCGGCAGTGGCTGGAGTTAGAGCTTCTGTCCAGAGATCAGCTGGCGGCTGTGGAGCAAACAGCCCGAGCTAATTAGGAAAAGGTCACGCCGGCTCCCGGAGGCCGGCTTTTGAAGTCGGGCCTCACACTGGCGGCTGGGAGCAGCTAGGACTTTGAGTTAGTGGCTTGGTTAGCTTCAAACCCCTGTGCCCCGCTCACTGCTGACCGCCCGGCCCACGCTCCGGTGCCAGGGTCCAGCCACCCACCCGCTGCTCCAGGCTGGACAGACAGATGACGGAGACTCAGCCCTACCCTGCCGCCTCCCTCCCTGCGCCCAGCGGCCGAGAGCAGGGAAGTGCCGGCTGGGCAGTAGCTGCCCACGTGCCCCACAGTTCCTCTCACTGTTCTTCCATTTTTCTCTAAGTAAATTCACTTTTTAAAAACTTAAATACGTTTATTTAAAAGGGAAGTTTTATAGCACTACTACAAATGGAAAACAACCCTCCTTTGCCATAAATAGAATTCATAATCATAAAAATAAATTCAGTGGAAACAAAACAATGTTATTAAATTCTAGTTGGATGCTGTCGCCCAGGGGAGGCCTGGAGCCCAAGGCTTGCTGTCGCTTTATTAAAAAGGGAGAAAGCAAGTGTGCAGGGGTGTTCACGGCTTACCAGCCCCGACCTGAGACTTCCTTTTTGATGGAATCAGGGGCGCTGAAAAGAATTAAATTGAGAGTAACTTTCTAATGAAATTATTCAGCAGCATTTTATGCTGTGTCACCTAGGGATTGAAATTGGCCGCACAAGACAGAAACCTGAGCACCGTGTGGTTGAACCCCACCTGGGGAATCATTTTTCTCATGTAAAGGGGGGGTGCACAGCCTCGGGACGTTGGCAGTGACCCACGTTCCACGTACCTTCCTCCTGCATCGTTTTTGCAGTGTCCTCATGGCCTCAGGGTGGCTGCTGCACCTCCAGCCGCTGTATCGCCATCTCTGCAGGAAAAGGGGCGGAGTGAAGGGAAAGGAATGTGCCGGCCGCGTCCTCACACTGGCAGCTGAGCGTGTTCTCCTGCCCACTGTGGTCCGCGGCTGCCTCGGGGTTGGCGCCCACTGAATAGTTCATCTGTGTGCGACATAGTTCCTTGGTGCCTGCTCTTTTCCAGGCGGCAGACTTCTGCCCTTGTGGTGTTCCTGACGTCACGTGCCAGCCCTTGTGAGGTGAGCCGGGGCCCCATCCCAGTGCATCCGCTAGGGGCCTGGGGCCTGCCGCTCCCCCACCCCCCGTGCCCGCCTCCTGCTGCCCACAGTGGTCCAGGCTCGAGTGCCCAGTCCGCCTGTATGGAGCTGCCCTGCACGGGGGAGCGGCCCCCCTCTCCCCACAGCCGTATCGGGCCCACAGCCCCCCTGGCTTGTTCGTCTCCCCCTGGTGGGGGTCCAGGCTGCAGGGGCAGGGTTTCTGCTCCTAGATCACAATTTGTCTCATTTTCTTGTAGAATGTCCACCCCCAGGTTCCTGGACATCATTAGCAGCAGGGGGGCAGCGCCTCGGGGTGCCATCTCTGGCCTCTCTCTGGCTCCCTGGGGATCCCAGCTCCTTTGGGCCAGGGCCCTGGTGGTGCCGCTGGCCCCGCCGCACCCACCCCGGCCACATGCTTTGTTTGCCTTCCAGCCTGAGCTCCCTCTCGCCTCCCCCACAATAGACCTTCCTCCTGCTCTGACCTCTGGACACTGAGCCCTCTCCTTGGCGCCAGTGCTGGGGACCCACTACAGGCCCCAGGTTTAAATACGGGTTCTGTTGCTGACTAGCTGTGCAACCAGGGTCGAGTCACTGACCCTCTCTGTGCTCATCGTTGGTGTACCGGTGGTGACGGCAGCCGCTTGTGTGATTGAGTGACAGGCACTGAGGGGGCACAGCACCTGTGTCTCCCCTCCCCTGCCTCCCAGATGTCCACATTCTGCACATGTGCATAAGCGTCTCTGCACCTGGTTCCACACGACCCAGGGCCTTGCTTTGGAAGCCCACCTTAGCTCTTGCTGAAAGTTCTGAAGCAAGAGGAAAGCGTCAGCACGTTTGGAAAGGAGGGTGACTGTATAATGTCCAAACCAGACACTGTTGGGAGTAGAAAGAGGTGGTTTGTAA